AGAGCTCTAATTAAATTTAATAGCTACGGCAAAGGGCATAAAATTGCGTCAAGCCACCAACGAGGCGGGCCGACGGCAAAAGAAGATGTGAAGACGTCAAGATTGGGGTCGTAAACACATTTTGATTTGATTTCTGGAAAGGATTCACTCATTTCACAGCCAGAGCAGTCGTTATCGCTGCTGCTGCTGCTGCTTCTGCTGCTTTGTCGGATGCGCTGATTGAATTGTCACCTTCGTTTAATGGCAGACTAGAGCAACGCACAAGTTCTATTCGTTTTGATGTCTACTCCTCGCCAAGACACTCGGTTGAAGGCGCCAACGTTGCCAGTGACATTTTATTTAATTTTTTTTGCTTTTGGGTTGTTTTATTATTGTAATACGCGGCGGCTGCTGCTGCCAAAGGTGTCAGACGTTTTATTGCTGTTCTTGACGACCTGTTGAAAAGTTCATGGTCACTTCTACAATTCTGCCTTTGAGATTATAGCGCTGTCACAAGACACGGGGAGGGCAACCAAGGCGGCATCATTCATCAAAAGACGCCTGCTTGAAATTACTTTCACCCTTCTTAAAAGTGGATAGTCCATAAATGAAACAGGTAGAATTGACTAGGAGCAGTTGGATTAAACAGTTGTTGGGTCGTTCACAATTAAATAGCTCATGGATTTCGAGGGTTTTGCATCATGTTTGAGAATTTCCACAAGTATCTCTTGCAGCTAAACTCTTTAATTAAAATGTCTCTAACAGTTATCTTATCTTAAGTGAAATCTTGTTTAACAATTGAGTTCGCTGTTGTATGTAAATAGCTTCATTTACATGTGCCTTAAAAAAAAGGTTAATTAAAACCACTTGTTTAGATGTTTTTTTTTTTGGGTATATTGCTTCTTTTTTTTGGTGATAGTACAAATTAAATATATAAGCTTGAAGTTACGAAAAACAAGAAATCATCATAGTTTAAACATAAGCCACAACTTTTGTATAGAAAAATGTTTTAAGTAGCATATATTGAAGTTATAATCAACACGAGCATAGCCAGCATGTTTAAAATGTTGCAACATTTACCCATACATATGTACATAGTTATTGTATATATCTACATACACATATGTATGTATGTATATAGTGAAAAGAGTTGAAGGTGAAATACTGACCACATTTTTTGCCCAGTCATTGTCCATATGCAGCGCAAATATTTTTAATTTGAATAAGTAATTCAAACAACAGTCAAAATCAAAAACAAAAAAAAAAAAGAAGAAAGAGAAAAAAAAATATAGAAGGAAAAACAAGTCAAAACAAATGTGAAACAAGGAAAATTCAATTTACTCGCATGTCAAGCCGAATTGCCGGCTAGGTCAAACATGTTGATGGATCGATGCATGGCTGCCTGGAATGAAAGGGACGCACAACAACAACAACAACAATAGCAACAGCAACCAAAACAACAACATCAGCTACAAGCTCAAATGGCAAAATGTTGCATGCTCGTACAATTGGGCGGTCCAAACAGCCCCACCTATATATGTATATATACATATATATATATATATATATATGCCTGGTCAGCAAAAGTATATTAAACGACGGCAAACAATAGTCAAACTTGCGCTTCATTGCACATTCAGCATGGGAGAGAAAGAGAGATCTCGAATATTTACATATATGAATTGAAAAATAACAGAAAAAGGTATATTTGAATTGCTAAAGGTAAAAGTTTTTAATTAATACAAATACATGTAACGTTTTATAAGCCGCTACAACTGACTATTAGCAGTGTACAGCAGTTTGTAACTACATACAAACATACATATATACATATATATATATATATGTGTATACATATGTGCAACTGTGCATCAATCGTTGCAGCAGCAGTTAGTTGAATATATTCGAAGCACTCCACTTGGCCTGGCTGGGAGTGCAACTGAATCTATTTGTCCGTTAGTGTGAATGCTGGCTAGGCTCGCTGTTAGCTGATTGCTGATTGTTGCCATATATATATATGTGAAAATTTAATTAAACTTGGAATGCAAGCAACAGCAACAACAAAAACACTTCTAACTGCAGCGACGACATGCAACTAAATAAATTACTAATAACTTGAATGCCAAGAGCTAAAATATTGACATATGCACACAGTTGGACATTTCGATAAATGAAACTTCGAGTGCTATTGAATAATTGAAACTCCTAAACTGGTTAAGTTCAGTGAATTAATGACTTATTTATATCAGAATTTTGTTATCATAGTAACACTCTTAAGTGTTTATAACTTAAATACTTGTTATATATAGCTATTGCTGGTGTTGAAAGGCAGGAACTGAGATAAACTTGTGATTATAAATTATTCATTTGTTTAATGTAGACTACAAAGCCTAAAATAGACTACAAATATAAAAATATATATAAATATAATAAATGTAGCAATAAATTTAGTTAAAACTTGGTTCGACTTAAAGAAAATATTGGAATTAAAATTTAAAATGAAATAAAATAAGTAAAAATAGATTTAAAATGTTTAACCAAAATGTATTATTTTTAAACCAAAAAAATCAAAAATTCTCTAGCCTAGATAATTAAAATATGCACAAATAATAATTTAGTAAACAACTGAAGTGTAGCTAACTAAGAAAAAAATGTTGTAATGTGATCTAAAAAATGAGTAATTAAGATGACAACAAACTTGATTCCTGATTGTTTATTCTAGTAAACTATTTAGATAAATACTAAATTCTTAAACGGTGGCCAGCTCGCTATCATTAACAACTAAAAATTATTTATCTGAACAATTATGGCAACTGGCTATAGCAACTCGCTGCTGCCACAATAATTTAATATGTGTATCTTGGACAAAGTTTTGGTTGAGCCACCATCGAGTTGAGACATTAGGTTAAGTGACAATTGCGCCCTGATTTATGGCTATTTCCGTCTCGTTGCGATTTCAGTGATTCGCGGAATTGCAAGCGCCGCTAATGAGCTGCCTGCCATTCGTTCACACTTGCTGCCCAGGGGTACACGAACAGTGGGGCCGAGGGGCTGACGAGATCGGAGAGCTGTGGGCTTTATTAATTGATTGCACTTATGGCATTCAAGATTTGCATGTATATATATAGTGTATGCAGTGCGGAATCCATTATTTCCGGGAACATTGCATTTGTACGGCAATTAGTTCGCATAAGTTGAAGCATTATGCTCGCTTCCACATACAGCATCGACTCCATCGGAGTTGGACCCATGTTTGCTTGCGGCACGGCATAAATCATCTGACGACGCCCGTGCCGACGCCAAACGGGGGACATCAAACTTATGTATGTATTTATGTATATATATATATATATATATATATATATATGGTGGTATGGTGTAACCGAAAATTTTCATCTAATTGAGAGACACCGCAGCGACATGAGTGCCCCCAAAAACAAAAATGATGCCTCTTTTAGCAAAACAATATCTGTTTATTTTTTTATTTTTTATTTTGGGGTAAAACTCTAGGAGCGCCCACCCGTACGATAAATTCGTTGGTATTTTTCTGTGTCGACCCTTCACATTTTGGTTGCCATAGTTCGTTTTTGAGTGGTGTCATATATTAGACAAAAAGAAAACAGCTTGTTCATAATTCTTGTGTAAGCAAATTTATGACCATTTAATATGACATTTATCTACAACAATAAGTTACGGCGAAAATTGCGCCGCTCAACTGTCAAACGCGTTGAAATTCATCAACTCAATTTTCTAAATATTTGTAATGCCACTAAATATTGTAGCTATGCACATACATAGTATATAACTTGGTTAAACATGTGTTTTTCGGTTGTATTACCGGCAACATTTGCAAGAGAGAGAGAACAATTTTTTTTGTTTGTTGAAAAGAGCATTGCTTAAAATCATTTTGATGAGAGTACAAAATATAAACATGTGTTCTGTCAAACGCTTGTTTTGCAGTTGTCTGTCCAAAATGGAAATTGCATGTAAAGCTCATAGTACAAATGTACAAAGCATAAATAGATATTTATATATATATATATATATATGATAAATATATGTATACTATTTTCGCGGCATCCTGGTCAAGTGGGGCAGATATAATCTAGTTATACTCTTGTTTGGGTTATTATATTTTAGTCGTTAATACCCTTTATTTTTGTATAACACGCTTTTTTGTTAAAAAAGATTTCTGAACCAATCCGACTTAGTAAGCAATTATAATTCTCCAGATTATATTAAAAATCATTGAGATTGAGCGATCGATCGAATGATAAGTTCGTGTATGAAAAACTTTTTTATTTAATAAGATATCTGAGCCAAATTTACAAATTTCTTATGTTTCTCACATTTGAGTAAACAATTATGAACAACGGTGAATTATATCATATAGCTATCATATGATCAATAGATCAAAAGATAAGTTCTTCTACGAACAAATTATTTACTAAGACATCAAAACTAAATCTCAAACATTTTGCCATAAAATGATCAACATTGTGCTACGCTATAATAGTTTATATGCATTTAATGTTCGGCGTTATTTTCTTATTTTCTTGTTATTTTTATAATAGTCGCATACACCTTGTCCCCTTCTCTTTTTTTCTCTAATATTGTCGCCCACAAGCAGGGGCGAGGCGGGGTAGCAAAGAAACGCCCACTTGCCAACATGCACTACAAGTGCTAAAAATTCGGAAAACATATTTCACAATTAATTGTCAGAGGAACTGGGCCGTGCCAAGCTTTGTGCACGTACTACACATAAGCAACTGTCATTATATACACACAACAACAACAACAACAGCAGCAACAACAACACAAAAAACAATGATTTTTTTTCTCGCATTTTTAAATGTTGTTCGACATGGCAAAAAACAACGCGTTGCTGCTTAATTTGTCGTAATTAATGCTTATGAATAGTTTGCACTTGTCTTTAATTTGTTCGAGCCAATGAATTCGTTATACTTGTACACTCAACTAAAACACCTAGTAGCTAGTAGTAAAAAGGGGTTAACACTAACCTGCAGTTTAACCAGTTCGGGATTATCGTTAGCCAGCTTTGCCAGCTCTTGGTAATTAGCCTTGGCCATTGAGACAATCCATTCCTTTGCCTTGGGATGCGAGAGTGTCACATCGGGTGTATCCTTCTCCTCAATTAATTGCTGAAAGACACCAAAAAGCATGGGGCATAAATTAATTATACATGTTGCTGCCACTTCATTTACAAAAACGCGTGGGCGGGTGTGAAATGGTACCAAAAAAAAAAAAAAAAAACAATATAAAGAAATATATATATGTGCATATATATAAAACAACGGGTATAAAACATAGAAAGCCCATTGAAAGCATTAACGCCAAACATACGCGCGTCTTAGAATACAACACACACTCCCACACACATGTGTGTGTGCAGCAATCTTTGTGGCAGCGTATAGATTATGGAGAGGGTTGGGCTTGGGGGTTGGGGGGCTGAAAAAGCTGGCATAATTATGGCCAACGCATTTCGGCGGCGCCATCGCCATGTTCTTTCCATAATTATGAAGGTAATAATTTTTATTTATTAGGCGCGTGCTTTAGGCAGATTGTATGAGTGTGTGTGTGGTGTGTGTGTGTGTGTGCGTGTGTTGTTGTTGTTGTTGTGTGCGCCGTGTTTTAGAAATAGAGCTCGAGAGCACTCGCGGCGAAAGTTGTTTTCCTTCCTTCCTTGCCTTGCCTTGCCTTTGCTGCAGCTTCATTTTTTGTTTTTGGTGATTTACACATTTTTCACTGGTGGGGGAAGGCTGGCCTGGAAGGGGCACGCATTCCTACTGATAATGAGCACTCTAATGAGCGAGGGTCCCAAATACACACTCGCACACACACACACGCACATGTGGCGGAATAACAATAGCTGGCAGCATGTGTGCCTTATATTTACGAGCGCCGAAAAACATTTTCGGCAACTAATTATCCATTCGCGTAATGTTCGCGATGCTAACAAGCAGCAGCAGCAGCAACAGCAGCAGCGGCAGCAGCATAAAAGGAGTCGACATTTGTTTACCTGTAACTGTAACTGTAGCACACCCACCACCCACTCGAAAAAGTAAAAAGAAGACACAAAACTCGTCTCCCTTTTCCTTTCATAATGCGTACACTCTGAAAAAAAATCGACACTAAATTTCAGAAAACCGACATATTTTTGGCGTCATCTTTTCCAAAAAAAACAAGGTTTGCCTTTCTTCTGGCTTGTTACTTATATTGTTATTAAGCATTAGTATTTTAAGATCCTTCGATTCGCGAGTAGAGCTACGCTGACTTTAAAATAGCAGTCGAGGTATCACATTTTATTGTTATTTTCTGAAATTCAGAAACAATTTTTCTGAGAATCAAGCTTTACATACTCTTTATACTCTTTATTGTCGATTGAGATATTTTTAATCTTAATTTCTAATCTATATAAAATATATAAAATATATTTCTAAAAACAAGAAAAATGTTCTAATTTTTAGGATGATTAGTTTTGCGAGTGTACGCACGGCATTTAGCCGCAGGATGCAACATTGCCAACCCCCATATCTCCACCCTCTTTATATATATTTACACGCCACTTGACTTTGCGAGTGCTCACGTTTTTCCAATTACTCGGCTGTGCTCGAACGCACCCGGAATAATCCGTGTTATGTTCAGGTAGACGACGACGACGACGATGCCGATGAGGACGAGAATGACGATGAAGTCGAACGGCAACATTGCCGCCATTTGCAAAATGCCGAATGTTGGCGAATGTTGAAGGCCGATTGCCGATTTCCGCATTTGCCGAATCGCCGACCAGCTGAAAGGGGCGAGTGGGGATGGGGTGTGTGTGGGTGAGGGGGGTGGCAAAACTGATGAAACAGCAGCTTGAACAGGACAAACATTGGCAAAGTAAGCGCTCCGGGCAAAGTGGCCATGTCAATGCTAAACAAAAGAACCAACCGTACAACGCACCATACCCGCCCCCAAAAGAAGACTCCACCCAATGGGGTATATATATATATATATATATATGTGTGTGTGTATTCCTTTTTACGGCAGGCATAATAAAAAGGCAGCGACTGCTGCTCGTTGGCTGCCTCATGTCTATGCCCCCAAACCCCATTCCCAATCGCTTGTTTGTTGGCTGGCTTTCTTATGTCCCAGTGTATATGTTGTTGTTCTTGTCCCTTTATGCTAGAGAGATATTATATCACACGGCTAGCCGTTGTCCAGTGCACCAAAAACCCGACCACATCAGACCCCCCACCACACCGACCCCGACGACCCCAAACTCTTGAACCGACCGTTGTCCTGCGCTGTGTTTTTGCGTTTGTGGCACCCGAAACTTACCTTTGGCTCCCTTTTACGTGAAAAACGGATGAAGCCACAAAATGGTCATGTTTGCCATTGCCGTATTCTGTGTACGCTGTTGCCATTGTCCGTCCATTCGGATCACTGTTGCCAATACGGAGCCTGGAGTTGGAGGAGGCGGCAACGTCGTTGTCGTTGTCGTCCTCGTCCGTTGTTGCTGTTGTAAATTTAACCGCTTCGGGACACACTGCGTTGTTGTTTAACAGCAATAACAACTTTTGGTTTGTTTTCCTTACATTTTTAATTGGGTCCTTTGTGGTCGCCTGGCCGTGATGAGAATAGCTTTGCCTAACTAATTTCTATTGCTGCTTATTGGCTATGTTAACATGTTTCAACCAACTTGTTTTTATCCCCAAAAAAGGGTTCACTCTCTCTCTTTCTCCCTCTTTTGGCTATCCGTTCCGCCCCGAGCCCGCCCTTAATATGCATATTGGGACACACAGGCACTGGCCACCAAAGTACCTTGTGGGTTAATAAAAATATATGTGGCTTGTTTGATGCTGCACTACGGGCTTTTCATTTCATTTTGGCTTAAAGCATACGCTCAGCACAACCCTTTAAAATTAACGCTAGTGTTTTTAAGGCAGCAACTATTCTGCGAACACTTCAAAGCCATTAATAAAATAACCCTTTTATGGAAAGCAGTGTTTGGTTTCCTAGATTTTGAACTGTCATTAATTTTGTCAAAACTGAACCGATTTCCAAAAGCAATAGCGTTTTAATCATGGTTTTTGCCATCTAACACATACTACATATAAATTAATAAACTTGATTTTTGGTTGAAAATCGTGTGGAAGTTCTATTATAATTAATCTAGTTATTAACATTTGATTAAAACTGAACCGATTAATATATTATAATTTATATTATAATTTCTACTCAAGCAAATTTAAATATTTAAATATTCAATATCAGTTCAGGTTAAAAAAAAAAGAATTTTCTTTTTACTATCAAGATTGATAACAAGTCTAATCCTTTCCTGTCTAATAAGTCCAATATGTTGCTCAAATGTAGCCAAAGTCTTTTGGTATTTTCGTAGGTTCTCAGATAAAGTTAAGCATATGAAAAATGGGTAGATGCAGAGCTACTACATCGCTTTGAGCTCATCGTTGGTTAGAAAATGCAAACCAATCCCATCATACAGTGGGTGCTGACTAAATGCCAACTCATGAAGCTAATTAAAAACGCTCGAAACGAATTTAATTGATCAGCTAGCGGGCTGAGATCAGCCCGAAGCGATTACAGTTGCGGCGCCAAAATTTCATGGTCTCATATACAAATTGATGGATCTATGACGATGTAGAAGAAGAAGAAGGCGCAGAAGAGCTGGTATCCCATTTTCGAAAAACTCTTTCGTGCATGATTTGGCACTTTCCATTCGACTTTTGGGATGATTAATAATATTTTTGTTATTAAACAAAATCCGTCAAGTAATTCGTTGGGTATGTGATAAGTAAAGATTGCTGGCGCCGTCTCTGTTTGCTTCTTTGTCTTCTTTCTTCTCATCTCATTTTAGATGTTGACTTGTTGGCTTGTTAGCGAACAGATATGTTAACAATATTTACAGTTTTACAGCTTCAGTAATGATGGGCATGAATGTAACCTGTCTGGCTGAACATTGATCCTGGTCAACTTTCAAAATTGGTAATATTAAATAGTAAACATGTTAAAGAATTATATCGATTTCAATTAAATTGAGCTAATTTTAACGTGGAATATATTCCGTTTATTTGCAGCTAGATGCGTTGAAATATTTGTTGCATGTAATTGGGAAACATAAATCCGGAAACATGAAAAACGTGAGAAACTTAACATAAACTCCGCGAGTTTTAGTCGCTGCAATACGCTTCGATATATGTAAACATTAATTTGACATGCACATAAGTGGAGAATAAGAGAATTCTGTCGGCACAAATAGACACTTAAATCTTTTTTTTTCCATCCTGGCGCGTTTCTAGTGAGGTTTTTATAGCGCTTGACATGTCGTTGACAATTCCGAGTTCCGACTTTGACATACATCTAACTGCTGCGCCTGTCGCCCTGCCTGAGTAAAATGCGAGTCTGCTGCATGTTTGTACGGAATCCACACAGATATATTTCCTGGGATGATTTATGCAGTCTGGCGACAATTGATGCCCCGATGCCCAAAAACCCCAAATTCGTTGATTGACAGCTCGGAGTGGATGACAGTTGTTTGTCAATTCATGGGCATTGGTAATTGCCGGCGTCTTTAGCTTGGAAACACTTCTCTCGTAACGCTTGACAAATTCTGAACATGTTGTCGCCCTTTATTGTCGGCTAGATAGATGGATTGTGTATCCATACATATGTAGAATACATATGCCTGTATGCATTTTAAATACTCAAATGTACTTGATATACTTAATGGAAGCTACTCGAGAGTATCACTCAGGTGTCTCTCATACGGATTCTGAAACTAGCTCACATCTGTCGAGTCTAATTAAAATCTTGTTGTCAGAGACGTTAGACAATAGAACCGATTATTTTAATATGACATAGAAGTCCGATGTCGATGGTGAATAATACGCAAATTTAGTGATTGTTGTCCGGATATTTTGGTAAACAATAAACTGTTCCTATGGTGTCTTTATTCTTTTTATTTGTAAGCGTCAATCAATTCGATTATTGTCACAGAACAGATAATATACAAATAATAAACGTCCTTCAAAAATAAACCATTTGTTTTTATTCACATTACGCTCTAATTATTTGGTAATGTTGAGCAAAAATATGAGCTTTAAATCGACGCTAAAGATCTTGCAACAAGCGCATTAAATGTTGCAACAAAATGACATGTATGAATACATACAAGATACTTTTTTTTTATTTATTTTTTTATTTACTACTTAATGCCAAGAGAAAAAAGAATGAATGACGTTGTTGACAATGGGCCTAATGGCCACATAGACTTGAAAGAGACTTTGCAGCGGGCGCTTTGCTTGTAATTTTATGAATCTTACATTTTATTGTCCACGGAATAAAATTAATGGATTTATACTAGGCTATAGTGGTTGTCCAATGTGCTGGTGGCAGTTCGTGACGGGGATGTCTTGGCCACGAAGCCAGCAGTTCCACTTGAGTGGGAGTGGATATATATATAAAGATATATACGTTTAAGTACCCGCTTTGGTGATATGCCACAAAATGCCGCCGCATGTGAGAAAAAATACCCATATCATAACATTGGTTGCAAATTAGATTAAAACTGCTTGTCAAAATTCTACTATTGCAATAGGAATTCTGGAAATTAATCAAGACAATAGGAAAAGATGCGAAAAGACAAGAAAAGATACAAATTTCAAAATACGCAAAAACTGTCCGCATTTTTGTTTGTTTGTTTGTACAAACAGATTTTAAATGATTTCCACAGGAAGCGAGGTGGAATAGCTACAAGAGCTAGTAGCTGGAAATGCTGGGCAGGCAGCACCGATGCGAGACTGTTGGCGAGACAAGCCAAAACAATCCAACGAGTCAACAATCCAACAAGCAACAAGCAACAAGCTCACCCGCATCTCATGGTGGGGGTCAATGTTAACCGGTTTTCAGGTTTCTATTTTATTTATTTTTTTTTGGTTTGGTTTGAGTTGCAAATAAAGCGTTGAAGACATACCTTCTCTGGTTTTTTCTTGGGCGGTGGCGAAATGATTTTTGCCTCTTCCTCGGATGCCATCCGGTTGAATTTGCGTGTCGCCTCCTTCACGCTCATGGGATTCTCGGCCAACTCAGCCTCCGTGCCGGATACCTTATCTGCTGCCGTCGAGCTATCCGTGGATGTGGTGGAAGAGAAGGAGAAACGTGGTATGTTCTCCTTGTTGCTGCTCTCGTCCACAGAATTGCCGCGGGACACCGACTTGGCACTCTTGCTAATCTCGCTGTTCTCGCTGCTCTTGTCCACTTCTGGCTTTGCTTGGCTTGATTGCAGCTCGAGGCGAGCGGGATCGAGGCGTTGCATGGCTGCTGTAAATTCGCTGACGCAATCGCGATAGCTCTCCACTTGATCTTGGTGCACAACAACGCCAGTGCTGAGAGCAGGTGTTGGAGCTGGCGCTGGCGAGGATTGCTGCACTTCTGGCGGTGCTTTATAGGGTGGTGGTTGTCTCATTGGTGAGATGCCGCTATCTGTCATGGATACAATTGAGCCGGCACCCGGACTGGAGGGTGTGGAGGCATTGCCAGCAGCCTCAACGGCTCTGTCCACAACTTCATCCGATGGACACTCATTGAGATACTTTTTGCGCAGTATCAGATACTTTTGATTGTTTTCGTTTTTAATCGTAGAGAGCAGCGTCACATATGTCTTGAAACGCTTGCGTGCCTCGGCCTCATCTGTAAATGCACAGATCGTTTTAGTTAAAACATTTTACTTAATGTCAATCTATTTATCTGCAAATGATGTCAACAAGTTGTTTATAAAATTCAACTCTGACTCACTTTGGGTGTGCGTAAGAAATTTCTTGAAGTGCTTGACGAGTGCATGGTTTGTCACCTTGCCATCGTTTTGCACCATGTAATTGCGTATGTCCGCAATCGACAGTTGCTTTGTATTATCCACTGCACTCATTTCGACACAATTCACTGTTTATATTGCACGCAAATTAAAATAAAAACACAATGTTTCGCACCAAAAACCCAAAACTAAACAAATAACACAGACGCCAGGGCTGGCGTGTAACCAGAGTCAGCTGCTGCGACACAAAGCCAAAGTGAGTGTCAGCCCTGCTGCTTCGCGGAAAAAAGCTGGCTGCTATGCGATGACTGACACAGCTCGAAATAAATAATAAAATGTGTTTTTTATATTGAAAAGCATGCTAATTTAAATCAAATTTTTATTAATAGGTATAAGTTATGCCTAGGAGTCGATCCTCAAATAAAATAAATGTAATTCGGACATCAAATTTAAAGCATTATTATGTAGTTACTCGTACAAGCTAATATGCTTGCTAATGTTTTTCAATTAAAAAGTCAAATGGTTTAAAAATATTTTTGGCAAATAAGTAACTTGTTTTAAAATAACAGTTATACATGTGCTATAGAGAAAAATTAACACATAAAATAATACAAAACAATAATATATGTCGAGATGTAGAGTTGTTTAAGTATAAAGAATAAAAAACAAAATATAAAGAAGAAAAATATTTCATTCACTCATAGTAAAATACAATTTTCACTTCAATAAATTGAAATGAATCGGTTTTTAAATTTTTGTATTCATTACCAACTTGTGCTTTTCATATTTCTCACATTCTCACATTCAGAATTTAAAAGCAGAAACACATCAGTTACTTATTCGAATGAGGCCATAAGAAATATTACACTTTTATGTATAGCGAACAATGAGAAACAAATTGCTTAAATTTCAATTTGACCGCAACCGATGTATACAAAGATACTGTCAGTGGCCAGATTAAGCACCCGAACAGTTTGTTCTTGTGGGTGGCAGCAACTTCGAATCCAAATCGGTGTGAGAATGAAACTGGTAATGGTGCATTGGGCGATATGAGTAAAGTGTTAATTTCATTTTCAATTTGGCAAATGCGATTGCAAAGGGAATTGTTGTCGAAAGGCCATCATTTATCATGTGCACCATGCGAGCAGACTTGTCTCCGGCTCCTGGCCAGGATGGAAAGCAGCGAAGGCTTAGCCACGTTCAAGTCTAGGCCGACTGGTTGCCTGATTCTGACAGTGTTTGTGCCATCGACTTCGATGAGAGAGAACGAGAGATGGAACGACATTGGCATATCTGGATTGGGATACACAGATTGGGATTGTATCTTTCACTTACATTTCAAGTTTCAAATGTCAAGTTGTTGCTATTGTTGTTGCTGGTTGTCTAAAGGCGCCCACCCAGTGGCCCAATAGCATGCCTTGGGTTGACAGGCGAATGCATACATTCATTTGCATTTTGCAATTACCAACTGTATAATTTCGTTGAGAAAACCACATACGTCTTATGCAACATTTGAAGACATAAAGTTAATTTGGCTTTTTGACTGGGCTGACAGTATATAAATTGAAAGTAGATACATTATATTGCCCTACTAACAGATACCCTGTAGACCGTTCTATATTGAGAGGAATATCATATTTAGGGAGTGTATTGAAAAGAAAGTGAGATATAGAGATAGCATACGGGATTGGAAGGACAGAAAGAGAGACAGTTGAAGAGTAGAGTAGATAGTAGAATACAAACTATATACTCTGGTAAATAGTTGAGAGATGAAAGTAGAGAATAGAGAAGAGAATATATATATAAGAGAGTAGCTCGCAGAAAGTAGATTATAAATTATGAGAGAGAGATATTAGTAGATAGTTGTAAGTAGAGAGTAAAAAAAGATAGGAGAGTATAAAGTTAAGAGTAGGGTTGAGAATAGAGAGATCTGTCGGTAGTTGATACTAGTAAGCCGATAGCAGATAATAGATAGTAGACAGCTCAGAGTCGAGACTAAAAGTCGAGAGTTGAGTGGAGAAAGATTAGACAGTAGAAAGTAGAGAACTGTGAGAAGAAAATAAGGAATAAGGAGTACAGAGTAAATTATATTGAGAGATAGTAGATATCACAGAGAAGAGAGTGGAAAGTAGAGAGTAGAAAGTAGAGAGTCGATAGTAAAGTAAAGTAGATAGTAGTGAGTTGATAGTGGAAAGTAAAACTCAGAGTGCCACTGAGAAAGAGAGAGAGAGAGGGAGAGACAGAGACAGAGAGAGAGAGAGATAGAGAGTGTACAAGGAACGAGTGGCTTCAAAAGAGAGAGAGAGAGAGACAAAGAGAGATCGACCATTGAGATAGAGCATGTGACAAAGATAACGAGAGTGCGAAAATGTTGAGTAATATATCTGATCATTTTATTACATGCACAATTATTACACATTTTGATGAGTACTGTGTGAAAGAACAGGTGAACAACTTGTGGACATGAAAATTGCACTTAAATCGCAATTATTTCGTATTATTATATATTTTATTATTTCAAGGCTTGAGGTGAGGTTAGGCACAGTTTATATTTATTATTATTATTATTTATAGTGTTTCTTTACTGAAATCTAAAACTTTACAGCTAATCCGTATGTCTGCAACGACATGTTTACTTTAAATAAAATCAGTTAGTTGCTTGCCAAAAAATATCAGTCAGGCTCTATCATAAAGTGTGTAATCTGTGTGTGAATAGTCAAGTAAATGTAGCAGGTATGTGTCTGGCAATCGCACGATATTAGCTGGATTTCATTTGTAGCCGTGTGATTGAGCCATTGTCACCGATTGTCTTCGAAGCTGGCGCCTGATAAGCGCCACAAATTAAATTAAATGTGTATTATATAAAATAGTTCGAGGCGTTTTGCGCCACGACTACCATAGAATTTCGAATGTCTGGCCTGAAAAATCAACAACACGATGAGCAACAGCAATAGCAACTACAGCATTGGAATCCGTCGTGAAGCTGCTCCTGTGAGTGGAGATCACTCTCCACACTCCACTGTCCTCGTCTTGGTCTGTTGTCTCTGGTCTCCGGTGGCTGTTGCAGTCTATGGCGTCTATGCCAACTGCTGACAACACAACAGCTCCGATCTTCGATAGCTGCAACGTTTGACTTGTTGTTGCTGTTGCTATTGCTATTGCTGCTGCGGCTGCGGCTGCGGCTGCTGCAGTATAATTGGCAATTGGGAATGGGCTTATTCACTTTTATGACTGCCTCTTCTTCTTCTTCTTCTCCAACTACTTGGCGTCTGTTGCGGGTCTACGTTGCATAAAGTCTATCTATTTCAGTCACATCGAAGTCGTGGCTGGCTTGTTGTTTTGAATGTTTCCTCTTTTCTTTCCCACTTGTGCAATTTTGTTGTTGTTGTTGTTGTTGTTGTGCTTTTTGCTGTTTCCCAATGGTTCCCTGTCGACCCCCGGCGAGTGGCGCCTCGAGTAACATGCGAGTCGATCGACCAAGAAGTCTGTTTCCCGTGACCATTCTGTAGATCGGTCCAGCTGTCACAGCGTTTCTCTCTCTTGAGATTTATTGTGCCCAGAGACTGTGTGGATCAGAAAGTCAAAAAGTGTTGCGACTTGTCATACGCCTCAATCTCTCTGGCACTCTCTGTATATATGTGTGTGTCTGTGTGTGTGTGTATATCCAGATGTCCGGTTTTCCACACACACACACACACTCAGACCTAGTGCAACCTTTTAAGCACTTCGAGCCATTATTATCGAACTATTACCAATTGAGCAGTGCGCATTATAAATGAGCACATAAAACATAAACGTTGTCGCTGCCGTCCGCTGAGCTCTCGAGAGCCGATTACTGCAATTTAACACCCCCGCTCCGCACCGACGAACTCAATGCACTCGCACTCATTGTCATCCCCCTGCCCCACACACACACACACATCAATGTCGTCCTCATCGCCGTCATATGCTGCTATTTCCGACTCCGTCCGGGAATTCATTCAGATGCCGGCTGCGGTCAAACGCTTTAGCTCGCACCGGGATTTTGGCTCGTTTCGCTCGGCTTAGCTTCAGCTCCCAAGTGGGATTATGTCACTTTTCACTGACATTTGCATTTTGATTGACAAACTCATTTGGCAATCCTCGAGCTGTGTAGCTGCTCCCGTTTCAGTTTCTGTTCCTGTTCCTGTTCATGTTCTACTCTTTCGGCTCTTCAGCCATTGTTTGCTAAGCGCTTAAGAGTATTTCCCAATTACACCCAAAATATATATACATATACATATATATATTTATATATATTTACACTTGCACAATGTTTTCAATTGGATTGAAAACTATAATGTTGTCAGCTTATTAAATTGTCTGAGGCATAAGGGTCTGTCAGAATGTGTCAGGTGCACATGTGCATTTTGAATGTGGCAACAATTTTAGCAGGCGCTTAAATATAAATCTTTATATAGAACATTAAATATATTTCATTTGATTATTTGAGTTTTGTATATCTGATAATAAACACTGAACAAAAATTATAGTCAAGAATATGTTATTGATTCCAGTTCAAAGCGCTTTAAATTGAGATTAAAAATATTAATTTTAAATTTTCTTTCGGTAATGAAAAATTCTTCAATCAACATTCACAATTTTATTTTGCATTTTATTTCTGGTTTATACAATTTACTTTTCTTACTACTATTTGACAAGCATTTTATTTAATTATATATTTAAAGTTTGTTTAAAATTTTTAATGATACTTTTACAAGCATATCATTTTATTACATTGACTTAAGTAGCAGTTTGGAGACCTGTTTGAAAATTATTTCTCCAAAAATAAATTAATTCTTAAATTTTTAAGAATAAAATATGAAAATAAAACAATTTACATAACAATAAGTTTGTAAACTCAAAGAACTTAAGGCCTTATCTGCTATTAAATTTCCTTACTTAAAATGGAATAAATAAAAGAGAAAAAAGTAAAATAAATACACAACACATAACTCATCTCAGAACTGTAAATATTAGTTTAAAGTTATTAATCAAAGCATTTAAAATAATAAAACCGAAATGTGTGTTAGTAAAATAATCCGGAAATATTCATGGGCGTTAAGGATTCATTCCTTGATGTGAATGCATCTTTAATAGTATGCAATTTACCAGATAACCGATAAGTGCTGCGACATATAGTACACATTTTTAAACTGTATAATGGAAATCAATTATGTAACAGAGAGCGATATGCTTCCCTTTTGACAATTTTTATGTATTCTGACATCCATTAAAGTCGAGGCCTGCTGACAATGACGACAACAACAACAACAACAACATCAACAACAACAACAACAGCAACTGCAACAATGCCAAAACAATGCTTGTATAGTGCGTGTCCTCCCCTCCTCCTCTGGCCAACGCTGATCTGCTTCTGCTGCCATCGTCCTGCTGGCAGTGAATGTGAATGTCAGCAGCGAGTGTTGTGACAGTTTTCTCGCATGAGTTTCCAAGCGAATAATATTAAATAAAAATACAAATAATTCATTTTTCATGGTGGCACTTTTTTTGCTACGATTTTCAATGGGTATGAGACGTGTGTGTGTGTGTGTGTGTCTCTGTGTGTTGGGTTTTTGGTTTTTGGGCTACGGGTTTGGAATCATTGCCCGTTACCATTTTGGCAGCTATTTTGAAATTGATATATGCATAAACCGCAGTGACAGATGTTGCAATTAAAACGGCATAAAATGCGCGTCCCTCAAAGCGGCTAATGGCTGAGAGGGGTGCAAGAGGCAGGCAGTCAGCAGTCAGCCAATATGCAGGAGGCATGAGGCAAGAGGCAGACGGCACCATATTATTGAAGGGATGACATTCATGCCGACTCGAGTGGCGCGAAAAGTGAAACGCTGTCGTGTGATTTTGACGCTCGGACAGCTCAATTGTCAAAATAGATTTAAGTGGCGGCAACTGATTTGTAAGTGCAAGTACACCGGAAAAAAAATAACACTAATTTTTAATATTACGCTTAAGATTCTACATTCTATTCCCAAGTGCATTTGAAGTCTTTAAGTGATCATGTAATTTGCAGATTTTGTGTAAATCAAGTGCAGTTCTTAACTAGGGAAAATATAAATTAAGTTTGAGGTTCTAGATTTATTCGAAAGTTTAATTGAACTTTTTGATTGTGATTTGATTTGCCGAATATTATTTATAAATAAAGGACAGTTGTTAAAAATTACAAGTAAGCTCAAATTATTTGATTTAAGCACAAGAATCTGAGAATTCAAAATATTTACACAGAGCGAAAAAAAATTTAATTTGTCGTCTTCAATTTTAAATTGAAATAGGAAAGTAAAAGCTTAGCGAAGGTCGTCATTAATTTTTGATTTTTTTTTTTCAAAATTATTTCACAGAAATTAATAAGTTTTCTGGAAAAAACATTTCCACTATAATATGTGAAATTTATTTATGTTTAATAATTTAATAATAGAAGAGCTGCAGCAGAACTGCCTTGAAGATAATGTAATTTTTAATTAAATTAATCAATAGCAATATGGGTTCAGTGTGTAAAAATCTAGAGTTAAAGTCAAACTCGAACGTTGCCAAAATATATTAAATTAAATACACTAAAAATGGCATTCGGGAAAAATGTATAACTAATTGATTTTTATTTAGTAATAAAAACATTCACAGTTGTGGCATTTTTCCTTTCGCAACTTGACATCTGCAATATTTATCAATCAATCATTATTAAATCTGAAGTCAGACTTACATCAAGTCAAGTATTTGCCATATTTATTGAGTCTGAAGTCAGAGCTGACAAAAACCAATATCAGCGAACTTCTCACATCGCTTTAGTATTGATTTTATATGTGTGTAATTTGTTGCAGTGTACATATCAATACTCTATAACTCTGGCACAAGATGCCCACTGAGCACTGAGCAGAGTTCTCTTCTCCACTGTTTTGTTCGCCGAGGGTGGCCAAAATGTGGCGGCCGCAAATGGAAACGCCCCATGTGGTTGGCACTCGTCTGCTCCGTCATGCTGACCCATTGATTGATTGCATTTGACTCAGCCGGACGGCAGATTGAAACAAACAAATACACACACAACACACACACACACAGCTCGTAAAACGCGCAACAGTGCAAATATTGTACTTAACACTCAGAGGGACACTTTGAAGTGGCCCTTTTTTTTTTTTTTTTTTTTTGTTGGTTTTCGGTTTGGGCTGCATTTTCATGCCACTTGCCAGCCCCCTTTTAAATTGAACGTTGACGTTTTTCGCGAATTGTTTTGGTCATTTGCGGGGCTTTAAGTCGGCTGTTGCCCTCATTTCATGGCTGTTGTCTGAGTTGGGTGGTGCCTGCAACTCATATATCTTGCCACCCACTTGGCGAATAGGACACGCCCCGACCTTATGGCGCAATTCCATCATGTATAAGGCACACTTTTTCCGTTTTATAGGTTAATTCGCTTTTATTACATTATCATAAAAAGTAAACAAAAATACACACACACAAACACACACACACACATGCACTAACATGTTGAGCATCACCTCAACGTGGACTCGACCACAAATATATACACATTATATACATATACATATATATATATATATATATGTATATAAGTATTCCTCATGGTGTGTGTATTAGTTCTCGCTATAAAAAGCAGATCATAAAATTTGATATATATTTTTCGGCTTTGTTTGCTGGAAAATTCATTTGAGTGCATAAATTTTTAAAAATTTTTATAAAACTTTTGAAGCAGCGTTGACATTTGAAAGCTGTAAAGTTCCTTAGAGGGTACCTGCAAAAAGAGGTGATAAAACTAGAGTAGACAATGTTTATGCCTGCTTTTGTATATTTCTTTCTTTTACTATTCTTAGTCTTAGCAAATCTTGAAAATTAACTGTTTTCATTGGCTGTTAGTTGACCTGCTTACAATATGGTTTTGTTATAATTAAAATGATGTTTTACCCAAATTGTGTAGCAGATTCAACTTTTGCAGCACCTTGGCAAATTGTTGGCTGATTTTGCCAGCTAATCGACTTTTGTTCTAGTATTAGTTGACAAACATGTAAGATTAGAAGAAAAATGTGTACACTTAACCTAGATAAAGTGAAAAGTACTCAAACTTTGTTAGAAGATGTAAGGGGAAACTTTCGAGTTTCCATTTTGTAAAATGAAACTTAAAGAATGCTATTTTTTAAAAATATAGATTAATATATTACACTCTTCTCAATTAAAAACTGACATTTAGCATTCAAAATTAAATTCTTTACGCTTAGAAGCTGATTCAAGGAATACGATTTTTTTGTTATTATTATTGTTCGCTAATAATTAAACTTTATCATGAAAATAATTTCAGGTAAAAAAGTAGTTTCTAAAAATGTATTCCCGTTCGTAAATTAATCATTTTAGATATATAGATATACATAAAAATATATTGAAAAAATACATACAGCGCATGTTTTTTTCATATTGTTTTTATTGGGTGTCTGTAAAATATTGTTAACTTATTAAATAAAAAATATACGTATTACAAATTAAAAATGATGTTAACTTTTCAGCTACATTAACAATATGAACGAAGTTAAGTAGGAATGTAAATTATCAGACGAGCACTTCCTACTTATCTCTTTTGGAGCAGCACTTATCTAAAAATATAGGGCAACATATTCGTCTTTTTGTTGTGTTTTTTGCTGCTGTTATTTTGACGTCACGATCGTTCATATTGAATGGGGAATCGGAGTAAAAAGTCACTCGACCGAAAGGTAAACAAACAAACATTGCGACTAGCCAAACAAAACAAATGGGCGTTACCAAAATCAAACTCTACCCGTGCCTCTGGGTAGCAAAGCGTGAAAAATAAGAAGTAATTAATGGTCGTATTTCCATTTCGTTTTTTGCTTTCTTTTGTTTGGCTCCAATAGTAATATGCCACTAATAAAACTCGCACCTGTCAATGGAGGCAATGGAAGAACAAAAGTCGAATCGTATGGTTAGCTCTGATTGTTTGTTAGCTGCAGCATTTCCAGCTGCTGTAACTGTTTCTGTTTTCTCCTGGCTTAGGCGGAGAAGCTACGCAAAGAGAGCACAAACGTATGTGTGTGTGTGTGCGTTGGAACGATATACCACCACCAGTAGCACAGCTCGGAGGGCGTAGACATCGCACACACTTCCACAGTTCCAGCGACTGTCGACGCAATCAGGCATTTCCATTCTAGTTGGAGTGCTGCATTAAGAATAGCGTCGTCTCGCTCGCGCTTTCTGCAGCCGCCCAGTGAGTGCAACGGAATGCGAGTCGCTGAGCTGAGCTGAACTGAGCTGAGCAACGGCATTCGTATGAGCTCTCGTGCCGGTTGCAACCAGTTCGTGTTCGAACGTACATAGGTGAACAACTGGAGCGCACTGCTATCGCTCGCTCCGTCGCTGACTCCGACTCCAGTCTACGTTTCGGTTTTTTGCGTATGCCTTTTGCGTCTTTTCCGTCTTTGCGTGCGTGCATCTGTGAGTCTGTGTGTGTGTGTGTGTGTGAGTGTGTGCTCGTCTGTCTGTCTGTGCGGATAAGCGTTGCAATTGTTATGGTTATGTTTATGTCGGTATTGTTGTCGTCGTCGCCGTCGTCGTCGCCGTCGCCGTCAGTCGCTGCTGCTACGCTCAATAATCCCAATGTTGATTCTGTTCGCTCGTTCGTTCGTTCGCTCGTTCACTGGTTCGTTCTGTGTGCTGCGTGAGGCTTGTGTTTAGAATTTTGTTTATGCGTGTTGTTACCGTTGTTGTTGTTGTTCTCCTTCTTCTTCTTCGTCTTGTTTTTGTTGTTGTCGCACAACGGTAAAATTGTCACACACATTGGCTAAAATCGGATTGCAAGCCAACAAGACCGGTTCGCTGGCCACAAAACTTAAAGAGCAAAGAATCGCCTTTTAATATTAAGCCGAATTTTGAACTGAACTCAACGGCAGCTGAAGCTGCCTGCATTCGAATCGGATCGCATTCTGATTCGACAACACACAAATACAATCTTAGCCTAATAACAATAACAATAACAATACATTAATTAAATACACACACCCACATATACAATTAAGAAAGAACACCCCAACGAAGCAGTTACCGCAACTATTATTCTGCAATGGCCGCCTATACACAATTTGGATATGGCGCTTTTCCGTCGGCATCACAGGTGGGTGATTCTTTTAACTGCTAATGCTAATTTATATGTTACCTTCACTTTTCAATCAATTGATTTTATTTATACAAATGCTGAAAATATTTTAGATATAAAGAATCTTTATAAAACGTTAAACTAATTTAATGCCAATATTCGAAGCATGGGGAAACTAATAGCAAAATAAATAAATTTTTGTTTTTTTTATTAAAATAACCCTTTTTTTTAAATTTGTAATTCACATTTTACACTTTTTATTTGCCTCAAGTTGAACAGTTAATGTATAAATAAAATATGAATAAATTTAAACTTTAACTTTTGGTTTATTTAATTGTATTTAAATATTGTTCTATATAGCTATATATGCTATATCTGTAAATGCAGGAACTATTATAGCCTACAACTTTCCATAAATGTAGAATTTCAGTGTATAACGACTTATCTACTTAATAAATGAGTTCTTGGCTTCCTCGAGATCAATGTTTTTGGTAGCATTATCATCAGATAGTTAATACATTAATTCATTTTAATGAAAATAATTTAATTAATATGCTAATGCATTAACTTATTTGATTTACTTTAAGAGATTTTTTTTTTTTAAATTATAGAAGTGAAGTTTAAATAATAAATTCTTAATCTTCTGCCAAATTTTAGGAGCATTTGTTGTCTGGGCTTCAAGATCGATCTTTGATTGAGTGATTTGATCATAAAACAAATAATTTATTATAAAAATTTAGACTTGAATTGTGTTTAATGAATTAAAACAAACAGCTCTCGAAAACAATTTGCTTATATTTAGAAAAATAGTTTGTTAACAGTTTATTGTTGACTTAAATAGTTAACACCCAATAATAATAATAATAATGAAAATAATAAAAACGTAAAAAACATTACGTCAATAATACGTCAATAAGCAATAATAATAACAATAAGAATTATTTGAAATACGGCAGTCTTATTTCCCATGCTTTAATCTCGCCCAACCAATTGGGATCGAAAAAAAAGATAACAAGACAACTTGGAAGGGGAGTGGGAGGGGCGAAAGTGGGAGTAGGCGATGTTGGTTGAGCACACACACACACACACACACACACACACACACACAGAGATCGACTGCGTTGCGGCTGCTGTTGCAGTTAAGCATGTGAAACTGTTGAAAAGTCAATAAAATTCAATTGCAACGATCGTAAATCATAAAACTTATAACCGTAAAGTGACAGCTCGGAGCTGAGCTGAGCAGGCACGGGGAACGCAATGCGTCCAGCGCATGCGCTCACGACGTACGTGAGCAGCCAGTCAATGAAAGCAGCTCGATAAAAGCAGCGAGAAGACGAAGAAGTGAGAAGAGAAGAGAAGAGAGTAGAAGGCAGCAGCAGATAGCAGCAGCGGGCAGGCAACAGTTGCGATGCTGCCACACCGATAGTGGAATCAGTGGCGCTGCATGGCTACTGGAGGTCCAACATCAGAGCAGAGCAGAGCAGATCGACAGACAGACGGACATACAGACAGACAGACGGACAAGCAGGCAGACGGACAGATCGAGAGATGACTTAAGAGACTGCGGCAAAAATATAGAACTCGGCTCCAGAGAACGATGGTGATCTACTTTACATTGGAGTGGACTGCTGCATTCCCATTCGTTGCTACTGGCGCTTGCAGTTCCACACTATCAACCTGGTTATCTTGGGGTAGGAGTTGACTTGGTGGAGGTGGCAGGTGGCTGGTGGCTGGTGGCAGAGGAGGCAGGCAAGCTCTGCCTCGGCAGAGATGCAACCGTCGAGATTAGATCATTGAGCTCGACCTGCGCTTTTGCTCTTGCGATTCAAAGAAAAATTGGTGGTGCACACATGGCCAGCCAGGCAAGGCAAAGGCAATCGCAAGGTAAGGCAAGTCAAGGCAAGGCCACAGCGCAGATCTTATCAGAAGAAGAACTGCGTCTGCAACTTCAGTCCCAACTTAGAGTTGCAATTGGAATTGGAGTCGCCGAGCTGTGTGTTTTTCACATGGCGCTTCCTGCCTTCTACTTTTGCCCCAGCCACAACTTGAGCTTCCTTTCTACGCAATTCTTCGCTGGATTCGTTTGTTTCATGAATAATGCAACGGCGGATTCTTGTGGCAGCCGCATTGGAACTCCGTATATGGTCTCGCCTATCAGATCAGTTGTCATAATTCTCATATTGTGTGTGAGAGAGAACCCTGACGCTTCATGGGAACTGTGAAGCTCTGTGGATTGGCTGAGGTCCTTTATGGTTTTCTTCTTTTTTTTTTTTGCTCTTCTCGTTTTTCTTCTCTCTCTCTGGCGTTTTATATTTATGCTGGTTCCTCGTTCGGTTCAATCAGCAACGTGTATGTTCAATACATATATTTATTTTTCACTAATTAAAAAAGCGCGACAAAAAAAAATTGAATCAATCATTTGTTGAAATTTGATTAATGGTTGTTCTTTGATATACAGTCAGACGTCGACCTCGAAATTCAGTTATGATTGCTGTGTCGAGGCATGCGTCATATTTTTTCTCATTCCATTTTTTTTCCCTGATTATATTTCTAATATTTCTTTTCTTCTCTTCTGGCTAAAATATAGTTACTTTATTCTTGGTAGCAACTGAGCTTATATATTATTCAATGGTCCTTTAGTGTAAAATAAATATTCCTGTTTATAAAATATTTTTGGTTTATATTTATATAAAAATAAGAAGCTTTCATTAAACGATCATAAATTTAGATACAAGTTGAAATGTGCTTCCTAAAACTTGAAAATTTCTGCAAATATATAAAAAAAGAGTTAGTTATTATTTTATAGAACCTTATAGTAACCTCCAAAAGATATCAGATTCTTAAGCATTAAAAATCATATTTTGAAAGATAGAATATTTTTTTGGGTCCACTGTCGGCAACACAGATCTTTAAGGCTACTTAACTTAACTTATTTGTTTCCATATCGGTTGGACTGGTTTATTAACAGTAATTATTCGCTACTTTGCGGGATAGTAATCTATTAAACCTTGCAGCACAAGGCCATAAAACAGGTATATATATATATTTATATAGGTATATATATGTATCGATATCGAAATTTGTTTTTAAAATTTAATGTGCAAAAATTACGAAAAATGCCTTCAGACATTTTTGGGGTGCAGCTTGAATCGACAGATTATGTTAATGATTCCCGATAATTATGAGTTTGGCCAACATTGAACTTCGCACAGACCGAGGCCAGCCTCCAACGGGAGCTGTAACCACAAGGAGGCAAAAATGCGTTGCACGAGGCGTATTTGACCTTTGGGCCTAGTCTGCCAGCCAAAAGAAGACGCGTCGACGGCTGATAGCCAAGTCAAGAGAAAAGAGCGGACGGCATTCGATCAATTTGTAGCTGCCCGTCAGCCGTCAGAGTATTCAACTTAATTATAGGTTTACCAATATCGAGCAGATTCTTTGCAGAAAAGGCAGCAAAAGCGCTGAGCACACTCTGAAATTAAAAGCAGCGGCGGGGCTCGTTTCGCAGATTGTCCTGCGGCAATTTTCAGAAGCATTCGATTTCATGTACTCCAGCCAAGATACTCGCCTTCAACGTCTTCTTCTTCTGCTTCTTCTGCCTCATCTGCTTCTTCTTCTTATTATTGTTCATCTGCAAGTTGGCCTGCAAGCGTTTGGCTGCCACACCCTCATTGATTTCAGGCATCTTGACTGTCTGCTGCAACGGAGTCTGGGCCTGAAGTTTCAGTCTGAATTCAGCTCTTGGGCTTGGGCGCATTTTGCATATTAATTGCCAAGGTTTTGCCTGGCGCATGCTATTGGCTCCCAAGACCACTTCAAGATGGTGAACATCAACTGCATTTTGGTTTTTCTGGTTACTGCTGCTGCTGCTGTTGCTGCTGTTGCTGCTGGTGCTGTTGATGCTGCAGTTTAAATCGATTTGCCTGGGTAATTGATGTGGCCGACGTTGCAGCCAGCAATCCCTCAATGGGGTATGCAGCGTTGCCATAAAATATGGCGGACCGATTAATCGGTTGCAGGATTATGATGCCGCACAGCTTCTGTGCTTCAGCGACTCCATTCGATCGCTGCAGGCGCTGATTATGTGTGTTAACACCATATTCGCTTACATGTTATCGTACCCATCGTGTAATGGGCCTTCTGTCGATTTTTCAAATTAAACTCACTGACTACAACCACTATGCACCGAAGAAGGTGCAGCCGGACAGTCTGTCCATGTCCATCACAACGGTCATTTTGCGGCATGCATCAATATTTATGAACTCGGATTTTGCCGTCAATTACAAATATTGCAAAGACAAGTTGTGCTAAAGGAAAACTTATCGTGTGTATTCATCAAGCGTTCCAAGAATGTGCGTAAATTAATTTTCCTGCTTTTCTCTAAAAAAAAAATTGTTTAAGTGTAGAAAAACATTCTTGGCTTTGGCTCCTTAACTTATTTAAACTGATTGAATTTGATTAGAGCTGAAGATCTAGCCGCTTGTGCTCCTACTTGTATTATTAATTGTTAAGCAAATTTGTGAATGTTAATAAAAATTAATTAAATGAATTTGATCAAGTCCATATTAAAGTTGCTTTATTATTTATATTTTCCTTCTTTTTTTTTTAAAGTATTTTATTTATTTCAAAAACATGAAGTATTCAACCTTTAAAACTAAAGTATTAAAATTACAGAAACACATTCCACAAAACAATAAAAAATAATACATTAAAAATATATAAAAATGTTTCACCGAAAATTATAAGTGAATTACACAAATTAAAGATAAAAATATGAGTCGAATAACACAAATAATATTAAAATAATTTGGTTTTTACTATTAGACTATTTGTCTATAAGGCTACTTTCAAGCTTATTCAGATTAAAATGTTAAGTTTGTTTTAATTAGTAATTTATATTCAAGTGTTTTTGAAAGTTTCTCAGATTGAAGTTCTAATAAAATGTTTTCCTAAACATTCGGTAAACTCACATTAAAAAGTGATTGGTATTAAAATGATATATAGATATGGCTAAGTGAGTGGTAAGCATAGCTATCACAATTCTCAGATCTCATTTGTACTACACACAAAATGACCGCTTACCCATTTCACAGGTGTGCGCGTGTGTGTGTGTGTTTTTGTGTGTATTCAATCAAAGTGCCTAATCACGATGCATTTTTCAACCTTTGAAATTAAATTCGAATCGATGCGGCGATAAACATTCATTAATTATGTAAACCAGTGGCGATAGCCTCAAGTTTAAGTACGAGTATGAATAGTGTGAGTAGTGTGAGTTGTTTGAGTGTGTATTCATTTGAGATTTGATTACATTATCAGAGAAATCGAAATCAATACCAGAAGAAGGGTGACAAATTTTCCACTTTAAATCAAGTCTTTAGCCGAAATGGAAATGATAATGAAACTAAATGTTCACATCGCATAAATTGATGCTCATGTTGTGTGCTTGTATTTTTTGTTTGTGTTATTTTAAAATTATAAAAAGATAAAAGAGAAATGTTTTGGCTTTTTCAATGCATCCATTTTTCGTGTGTTTTTTTTTTTGCAGCTTCTACCGCCGAATGGGTCGCAGACACCTGAGGATGCAGCGAGGGTGAATGTGAGCGCATCTTCATTGGTGATGACAAACGCACCAGCACTCAGCCCCACGGGTGGTGTCGACTGCCAGACGACGAGCCAACAGCCGGGTGGTGGTGGTGGTGCAGTTGGTGGTGCTAGTGCCGGCATTGCCTCAACTGGCGCACTAAGTCCCGACGCACTTTCGCAGAACTCAAACGCGGCGGGGTCAGCTGTGGCTGGCGCTGTTGCCGTTGCGGATGCAACAATTGCTGGCGGCTCCCTGGACAGCAGCGCTGTGGGCACAACGCCTACAACGGGCAGCTCCTGCTGCGAGAACGGTCGTCCCATTATGACCGATCCCGTCTCGGGACAGACTGTCTGCTCCTGCCAATACGATTCGGCCCGATTGGCGCTCTCCAGCTACTCGAGATTGCCGGCGGCCAGTGTTGGTGTCTATGGCTCACCATATCCATCGACGGATCAGAACCCATACCAGAGCATTGGAGTGGACAGCTCCGCCTTCTACTCACCGCTGGTAAGTGAAAGCCAAGACGATGACGACGACGATGGCTAAATGGATTATCTCAACATATGACTTTAATTGTGTAGTCAGCGGCAAACAGGCAGACATAGACATAGAGGCAACAACTGAAGGGTAGCTGCGGTGAGGACGTTGGGGAGAGGGTAGAGGGGAGAGAACAACGGGCTTGTCAATGTAGTCGAGTAAATCGAATTATCATTATGGCTGACTGAAGCTCAGTCAAACCTCATTTAGTCGCTGGTCTGGCAAGCAGCTCCAGCTCCAACTTGATTCCCTCTCCCACTCTTTTTCTCTCTATCTCGCTCTCACTGTGTCTTGTCTTTGTTGGCTTTCTCATGCTGCTGACTCTCTTGCCATTGTGATATTCGATACTTTGCGCAACGAAAGGCAAAATCATTGGAAACAAAACATATTGCCCCATGGCCTCAATTACACTACCAGTTGAAGCTTGCCTTGCATTTGTAGTTGTATTTGTGTATTAGTGTGTGTGTGTGTGGGCTAATCGAGCTTATGCCTTTGTATACATCTCATATATGTGTGTGTGTGTGTGTGTGCGTATGTGTATGCAGATGCCCTTTGTATTCTCTAAGTGACCACAGAAATGTACACGGGCAACATGCACACAGTTTTAAATGACATACTAGATGACATACCCATATAAAGATGGAATGGGTTGAGGCAGATGAGGGAAGATGCAGAGACAAGCAATACGAGTAAACACACATTCAGTTTAGAGGCATAGTTGTATGCCACACACAAAAGTAAACAAACAAATGTTTACCCTTTACAAGCTCCCAATTAATACTCCAATTGCTTAGCCTATGTGTCTTTATAGTGCTTGTAATATTTATTTCATTTAGCTGGATTACATTTTTCCATATTGAGAAGTCCTTTTCATTAGTAAACCAACTAATTTATTAATTGATTGACCCTTTATACTTGCCATAGATTAAATTTAGATACAGATACAAATAGTTCGAATGCAGCAGATACTTTACACATTTTGTTTAGCTGATAAATATATAACTTTTAATAGGCAAGTCTGCTTTATTGTAATTATTTTAGATACAATTTAAGTGCATATATAAAATGTTGTAGATCAAATTCAACTATAAATACAATATTTATTAGTGTTACAAATACATCTGCATATTTTTTCTGCCTGTTGCTAGAATTGTTGTCTGAAGACACATAAACAATATATATTAATTCTTTTCTCTAAAGTTTTTTTTTTTTATCTTAAGTGGAGAGAGAGAGAGAGAGAGAAGCAGCAGAGCAGAAGCGAGACGGCGACAGCAGCCAGCAATGTGTCATGTTAAATTGTTATTTACAAGAACAGGAAATTCAAAGTGAATCGTTCTCATTCCGCCTGCTCTTCTTGAGTTGCTGCTGCTGCTGCTGCTGATGTTTCTGCTTGGCTTGGTGTGTGTGTGTGTGTGTGTGTGTGTGTGTCGTCTGTGGCATGCACCTGACCGCGGTACGCTCTTATCCGTTGCTGCTTTTAATTAAGAAAATATCATTTGCTGTGCTCGCGTTCGCACATTCAATGCGATAAGATGTCGCCGCTCGTAATTTTGACTGAAAACTCGAGAGAAAAAAAAAATATATAAAATAAAGCAGTGAGAGTGAGATAGAGAGGGAAATTTGAGTTGTTAGTGGTAGAAGTATAAAATAGGACAAGATCGTCAGACATTTAACAGTTGTTGTTGCTGTTGTTGTTGCTGTTGTTGTTTCAATTGACTGCACCTGGCGCAATCTCGTGAATCAGAGTTCATGTTTGGTCGGTCTTCTTTTTGATATGAAATGCGCAGGCCATGTAGATAGGAGCTGGCGATATCATATCCAATATATATACCTGTTTACACCCCCCGACCACCCCTCCCCTCGCACACACACACACACATACACCATCGATCAAATGCCATTTTTGATAAATATATTTTTGTCACTCGCGAGCGTCGGCAGCGGCGGCAAAGGCGAGTTAAAAAATTAATAAACAATGCCATACATGATGTTAAGCAATTAAAAATGTTAATGCCGTTTCATAAATCAAGAGCAAAAACATACACAAAAGCATCGTCGCAGTCCGGCCAACCAGATTGGGCGCTAGACTCCCCACACACGGCCCGGATGATCGGCTCTTAACCTGGCCAATAGTTGTCGCTCATAAATCCAGCCAACATGCGTAAGGTCATCAGACGGCGGCCATCCGATATTAAAATTTAGTATGTCGATCCATAACGACAATAATCGGCTTTCCTGTTTATATAATTTGTTGCAGTGATTTTCTCGATTTTTGTTGTCGTTGATTTTTTTGTTAAACATTTGTTCAAAAGTTACGAGTCTAAATTATGCCTTTGAATACACATCATTCTGTCTGTGACCGTAAAATATGGTCAACGTCAGCGTTTCAGCTTGTTTCATGGCGAAATATGTTGCCAAATTATAAATTCCATGTTAACAAAATCGTCAACTTTATTTTGGATACTGTGGGAAATCATTTTGTTTAGCGCTTATGCCTGCATCACATTAAACGGAGGCCGACTAACCAAAATAGATATTTGCTTGTCTGTGCTTGCCTTAGCCGTATATCTAAATTATGTATCAAATTTAACATGTATCAAACATATTTGATTTGTCCATTTACAGAGCAATCCTTATGGCTTAAAGGACTCGGCGGCTGGCACTGAAATGAGCGCCTGGACCTCAGCAGGACTACAGCCAACAACTGGCTACTACAGCTATGATCCAATGTCTGCATATGGGTAAGTCAATTCAAATGGCTTAAATCACGCATAATTGCGTATTAAAATCAAAAGCAATTGTGCGACCATAATTAATGGCAAAATATTCGACGAGTACTCAAAATTGATTTGAATTTAATTGCACTGAGAGACAGGGACGGGGACAGAGACAGAGACAGGGACTGGGACTTGGAGCAGGGACAGGGCGATAATAAAATTTGAATTGTGAAAATTGCTAGAGCGCGCGAAATTATTTATTTATGATTGCGGCGCAGAATAATCGCAGTTAATTGCACGCCACAGTGCGCACTCTATATATATATATATAAGTACATGTATATATATATATATATATATGTGCGTATATATATATATGTATGCACACGCAGACATTGGCATGCACCAGCAGCGGCAGCGGCAGCGGCGCACCAGAATTGACACGGATATGCGAAACGGACAATCGTCGGACATGCAACTGCAACTGCAACTGCCGACGCGACGGCTGCGGCTTCCCCACACTGGACGCCACTGGGATGAGCGTTGTGGGCTGTAAGCGAGGGGGGGGGGGGGGGGGTTGCTTGTGGAATTGCGTTTGAATTGCGTGCTGAAAGCCCATATGAAAGCGGGACTGTGACTGGAACTGGAACTGGGGACTGGGAGAGCAGAGTGCAACAGCTAGTAGTACCACTAAGTGAATGAAGGCAGCGCAAAAAATAAAAATAAAATATAAAAAAAAAAAAGTAGCAGCAGCAGAAGAAGAAGAAGCAGCAGCAAGGTGTGAGTAAATGAACGCCATGTTGGCCGCCATATTGAGCGGAGAGTAGACACGTTGACAGACATTTCAAAGAAGAACGGTTGCGCTTTTTGCTGTGGCTCATTGTCACAGATTGCCACAGAGCGAGAGAGCGAGAGAGACCGAGAGAGAGAGAGAGAGAGAGAGAGAGATAGTCAGGTAGAACCATACAAGAGAGTGGGCAGTGGGTGGGTCTTTAATGGCGGGACAGTTGACAGGCATTTGGCGTCGGCATGTTCATATATACAACACATAATACACACATACATATATATATATATAAATATGTATCTGACTGCTTTGGAAGTGCAGGCCAATGTCAGTTGCCGTGCCAGGCAATATTTGTTTAAAATGTGTTCATTGCTGTAAATTGCTACCCACAGATAATGGCAAACAACAACGACAGCATGTAATTATAATTGCTGGTCTAAAACTAAATTGCATGTTCATACAATATGCTAGATTTTTTTCCATTTCTATATCGAGAGAGTACACAAGCATATATATCTGGCAAGCTATTAAAAAATATAGCTAAAAATCGGTTGGGACTTGGGGGCGCCTCAGCCTCAGCCTCAGCTGGAGCTGTTTTTGTTTTTTGTGTGAACAAGAATTCGATTTGTTAACAAGATTATGGACAGACTCACAGTCAGGCTTTAAATGTATGAATGGATGTATGTATTCATATAGGCACATATGCAATTAGCAACAAGTGAACAAATAATGTAAAACATTACAGAACATGTCAATACACACACACACACACACACACATACATATGTATATTAGTTTGGGCTGCATCCAGCAACTGGCATTACGCGCTAATAATATGGCGGGAACACATCGCCAGATCCGATATGCAACTTACGTGCATCAAATTACAGGAATCGTAACATTTGTTGCAAAATTCATAAGATGCTTTGGCCAATTGCAAATACTAATTACAAAACAAAACTTGATTTCTGTGTGCCGCATATGAAACTAACAACTTTATTAAGTATAAGTTTACAAAAATGCTTGCAGGGATTTGACGATTTTCTTTGAATAAAAGAAACTTGCTTGCTTATTTTGTTAGGGCTCTGTGTTTATGCTGTTCAGCGGAATTTTAAGGGAGAATAGCGTAATTGCTGCCATTATTATTTATAAAGTGGCATAGAGGTATTCCTTAAGTCAAAATCTCTCTTTCTTTGTGCCTTGTAAAGCTTATAAATAATTTTAAGTGAGAATAACGTAAGCAGAATGCAGCATTTATTAATTAAATTTGAGATATTTGCTGAGTCAAATTTATAATAATTTGTTTTTTATAAAAATCGCAAGCACTCAGAAAAAAATAAAATCAAGAAAAATATTTATATTCTTAAAAAATATAGTAAAAATTTGTAATATATTCCCTATGAAAGATTCAGGCAACTTTACACTAAATTTAATCAGAACAACATCGTGGTAAACTGAAATCAATAAAATATAAATTTCAAGGATTATGACTTAAAAGAGTTATAAAAAATTCTGCAAGTAAAAAATTAATAATATTCTTAAAAAATTGAGTAAGTGGGTAAATGGGTAAACTAACTTAACTTTGGCAAACTTACGAAAACGTTACAAGATTTAAGCAACTTTAAATAAAGTTCATTAAAAGATACCAAAGACGAGTAGTAAACTAAATTCAATTAAAGATGGGAAAGTTTTTTAGTAAACTTTCGCAAATCGATGGCTTTAATCGCATAATTTAAACAGTTGTTTTGTGTCTCAGCTTGAGCATCTCCCTTTAGATAGTTGTCCACTTATAAGTATACAAATCTGTGGAGGCGGAGAAGAACAAATTTCTGTGAATGCCCAGCGTCCTTGTGCCAGACAATAATAGCAAAAACTCAAACATCAACTTCAACGCTGCATAAAAATCAGGCGCTTATTTCTATTTTTATTTTATTTCATTTTTTTGTGTCGTTGAGTAGAGGCAACATTGCGAAAGCCGTTAAAAGTATACACCAAAATAAAAAAAAAGGGAAGAAAAATGGGGCAGGACAAGAGCAGAGCAACGAGTGCAACACAGCTTCGGAAGCAGGCAACACAGGCTTCCTTCTTTATCTTGTTGTAAAATTCACCGCACAAACTGTTGATTCTGCGGCACCATAAAAATCCCATGAAAAATTAAAAAAAATAAATAAAACGAAAGAGAGACAGTTACAGAGGGGCAGCGGAAGGAAGAGAGGATTGAAAGGAATGTTGAAAGTGGGCACACAAAAAAGTGATATAAAAAAAGGCAGCAAAAATAGTAGATGGGACTAGGCAAAGCACGAAAGTGAAATGTGCGACGAGCTGCTGCTGCTGCTGCTGCTGGTGCTGCTGTTGCACAGATGAGTTGCAACACGGATATACGCATGGGTTGGGCGGTTTGGGGGTGGCTTAATTTAGCTGGTAGAAGTTTAGTGAGGGGCTTTTTGGACGACGGCAGCTGGATAAAAATGCAAAACGCAATAATGCCGCAGCTCTCTGGCAACAACTTCTACTCCTGCCCTGGATTGCCCTGGTTGCCCCCAAAAACCCCACAGCTGACCATACACTTATGGCGTTGTCGTCCTCGTTGTTGTTGAGTTTTGTTGTTGCAGTTGTTGTCGTTGCTTTTGTTGTTGTGCGCTGTTTCACAACTATGTTTTACAATATTTTGACGTTGTAGTACACTGAAGTAGGTGTGGCCCCTCCGAGTGGGTGGCAATATGAAAGCATCAATTTAAATTGTTCGCATTTTTAATGAATTTTCATGTTTCCATGTCTAGTCTAGAGAACGAAACAAGAAACACCATTTCACTAACCAGTTTTGTCTCGCCTATACAGTTATGGGGCCAGCTACGATTTGGCCGCACGCCGCAAAAATGCAACGCGTGAATCGACGGCCACGTTGAAGGCGTGGCTCAATGAGCACAAGAAGAATCCGTATCCCACCAAGGGGGAGAAGATCATGCTGGCCATCATCACAAAGATGACGCTGACCCAGGTCTCCACTTGGTTTGCGAATGCGCGACGCCGCTTGAAGAAGGAGAACAAGATGACGTGGGAGCCAAAGAATCGCACCGATGACGATGATGATGCCTTGGTCTCCGATGATGAGAAGGACAAGGACGATGTCGACTCCAACAAGGATGGTGGCAGTTTGGCAAAAGGTACGCATGCAGAAAAACTAAATTATATTTTTATTTCTTAATTCTCAATTGAAAGAATGTGATTCCTAAAGAGACTTTTTTATTCTTGAACTTTTCATATATTTTCCACTTTTTGTGGATAAGCAAAGGATGATTGTTTCATAATTCAAAATTAATTATAATGTTCATAAATTAAAATCTTTATTAAATACAATTTTTATACTCAGTTCTTCTTAAATCAATATTCATGAAATTCAAAGTTTTTATGCTGATAAAAATTCGAAAAATCATTGCTAATCAAATTAAAAATATATATTCTGAAATTGAGTTCTAAAATCTTTAATACTTGTTTAAAATTCACAAATTTTTAAAATGATAATCTGAAAATCTTTTACACTTATTTCAAGGCCACAAATGATGGTAATGAGTGTTTTTGTACTTGTTTAAAAATATTGTTTATTACTTATGCTTATTCATTATATTCATTCATTATTCATTATACATTAACGAATTCTTTAAAACTCAAGCATATTTTATATAAATTTAAATGTATTTTCCGTAATGAATTTAATTATAAATTTAAAAAATGAAAACTTAGGAAACTATTTCAGTTATACTAGGTGTATTTCTACAAGTCTATAAGCCAAAGCATTGCCATCTTCAATCTCATTGCAGATGTTGCCAAAGACGAGGAGGAGCTCATCGATGAGGAGCAGAAGCAGTTGGGTCAAGCGAACATTTTGCGCGCTGGCTTTGGCTATCCCAGTGCTGGTTATCATGGTGGAGGTGGCAGTGGTCATCCTGGTGCTGCCTACAATCCCTACCATCATCATCACCATCACCATCATCAGCATCCCGCCTATTATCAACCGCAGCAGACGGTGCTGCCGGCGGCCTTCCATGCGGGCGAGGGCGGCAGTCTGGCCAGCAGTCTGCCGGGCGGCAGTAAGCACAGCGAACATGGCGATCCAAAAAACCAGTTAGGCCGGGACTGTGGCGTGCCGATTCCAGCTACGAAGCCCAAAATCTGGAGCTTGGCCGACACAGTTGCCTGCAAGACCCCACCGCCAGCCTGCATGGGCCCAGGGCAATTAATGCCGCAGCAGCAGCAGCAGCAGTCGCATCAGCAGCAGCAGCAGCGTCATCTGCATCCGCAGGAGAATCTGGGCATGGGTACGTCACAGGTGCAGCAGCAGCAGCAGCAGGAGCAACCATTGGCGATGGGCAGCCATCTGTTCAACGGAGCAGCACCGTATGTAAGAGCGCATACTACGGCATACGGGGGTTTTCTAGGGGCTACGACGCAGCAGCTCCATACTACGAGCACGAACAGTGCCCCATACAGCAGTGGCCAATTGCTGCAACAGCACACGAACAGCAGCAACAACAACAACAGCAACAACAACAACAACAGCAACACCAGCAGCAACAACAGCAGCAGCAGCAGCAGCTGCAATTCCAACGGCACACATACGCCTACCATCCCTACTATCCGGGCAAACCCAAATCCGAACGAGGCCATGAGACTGGGCTTGGGCTTGGGCTTGGGATTGGGTCTGGGATTGGGCCAGTCCGAGGTGCAGTTGCAGGTGCAGGGTCAGTGCCCAGCGGTGCGTCAGTCACAGCCATCTCAATCCACAGCGAGTCAGCGGGCGATGGCGATGGGGTTTCCCGAAGCCCAACCCGATACTCCACCCCAAACTCCGCCGAATATGAAGGTGCTGAGCGGAGCTTTGAGTCTGCTGCCTACCGCTTCGCAAATCCCTATGACCGCTACTTGTCGCAGCAGTAACATCAATCCACCCATCAGCATTACCAGCTACAATTCCGGCTGCAATTATCCCATGAACTATTCGACGCGTCTCAACGAATTCGAATACCCTGCCAGCATGAATCGTGATGATTTCGGCAGTGGCAGCAGCAGCAGCAACAGCAGCTCGTCTCCGCCACATCTGCAGCGGAATGAGAACATGTTCAGGCCGCTCTTCAAGAGGTACACTTACTCCAAATAGTCTATGCACAGCAACTAATCGTTCTCATTTCGAAGTTTGACGCCTGTGTAGACAGAAACCACCACACAGAAAGAGGACCTTCAATATGTATTTGCGATAAATATATATATAAATATATATGTATATGTATGTGAATACACATGTGTACATATTATAGTTTAGGTAAGCAAGAAATGCCTTTTGTTATTAAGCTTATTTTATTTTACATCCTCTACAGATTATCATTATTTCTGGGCTCGTGCAACAACGTAAAGGATTGTGTAATAATTAATTAATTAATAATAATAATAATAATAATATATACCACATTGGTACAGCTGTACCATACACCTACCTTAACTTAAATAAAGCCGTGCATTGTCTTAACCTACATACTAGTACACATATATATATATATATACATAACTATTATTTATCTGAAGTAAGCTTCTTTTGTAACAGCAGGCACATTGAAAATTAGTATTAAGATTATAAACTGTGATAAATTTTACATTGTTTAACAGACTTCAAATATAAATAAAACTAAAACCACATCGTCTCTATAAATGCATAATCTAATGTAATTTAAATTCGTTCAATACAAATAAATCTTTGTAATCCTAACAAACATCTTCGTTTTATTTCTGGATGCAGTCTTTTGGTGGACATTTATATAAATGATTTTCTTTTGTTTCAGCATAGGTTTGGGACAGGTTTGTTTAGAAGATCATTTTTGCATGATTTAAAACATAAATTTTCTGACTGGCACTTTATATGAGCTTTAATAGCAGTTCTCTCCGTATCCAGCAATTATAATAGCAATCCCACTGTATTTTATTTGGATTGCAACTCTTTCGAATTAAATGCTTATATGCATCAAGTTATGGGTTCAACTTAGAAATATTTTTAGCTCTACAACAGCTTCAAGCAAATCATTCCTAATTTTGTGCAGATTAAATAACTTAAAGGTTTGAAACTGCTTGATATACTTGAGATATGGGAATAATAGATAAGATAAATATGTTGAGTAAAAGAAATCAGAAATTCTAAGCAGTTTTCTATAAGCAATCATAAGATTGCTAGTTGGGGTCAGTCCTAACTAACCGAAACCATTATTAATTCGTGCATTGATACATATATATACTTTTTGGAGAGATAATCTTATTACCTTTATTATCATGTAAAAATGTACGAATTAATAGTGTTTTGGATTGTATAAGAATAAATATATATTTCGAATTAAAATTGTAGTTCTGTCAATGGTACATTTTAAACATCGCTTAACTGGCTTGCAAAAAACAAAGAGGTACATCAAACTGAATTGTTCTTATTTGTCTAATTAAATAATCGCAGCAACAACTTTTCCCCGATTATTTCACTTTAGAACTCTGAATGTTCTGATTGTATGTTGAACCTGTCAAAATTTTTTCTTTTTTTGTTTAAGTCACCGCTAATTACCTTTACAACATCAACGTTTTTTTTTTTTTTTTGTTTTTTGTCTGTGTACAAAGGGAAATTAACATAAATTACATATTATTATAATTCATTGCAACCGCACGTGTGCCCAGTTGTCATTTGTGGCAACCGAAAACAGGGGCATGTATATACTAAAAAATTCCAATTAATGCAAGCGACTGGAAAACATTAAAATATTCTTAAATGCAATTTAATATGCAATATTCATATATGATACTTTGTTGTACATTCTTGTTATCGGAATGATTTATTAATAGCGATTCAGGTGTTAAATTTTAATATTTCTTTAATGCCAACTTTGGTATGTACAATAAAGATTGTAAGGAAGAAGAAAATATGGCAAAACTAAGCTGAAAAAATATTTCTTAAACTCTTGTATTTCTTTTTGGCCAACAACAGATAGAGTCTTACCCAAAACAAGTATGCAAGACCAATAGTGTAGTAGTAGTGGTAGTGCGACCTGGTCTTAGCCCACATCCACGACAAATTACGCGACAGAGAAAACGTTTCTGTCAAAGTCAACACTTACAGCCAGAAAACGAGACAATATCTATTTGTGTGTGTGTGTGTGTGTGTGTGTGTGCGGGGAGGCTGGTGGTTGGCTGATGGGGAAAACAATTTGTAACGACTATCGCCATTTGATAAATTAACATTCAGCAGTTTCTCGATTATGCAACAAATTGTCATTTGAATTGAAATTGACAGCCGCTGAAGGCAGCAAATTGCGATGAATTGACTCGAATTGGAAATATTGGAATAGCAATCGAAATTGGACGCTGTTTTGTATTGTTGTTTAGTAATAAGTGCAAGTGATTAATTTGGTTTGGTCTCGTTTGACACACTTTACACAGAGAGATACATGTGTTTTGCATGGCACTAATGCGACTGGTAACTAAAGAAAGCCACGTGATGTCCACTTAGCTTGGGGCACATCCATACAAACAGATTTAGTAACAAATTTCTTAAACTGTTTATACTGTTTTTGCTGTTGTTGTTTGTAATCCCCCTGGCTGGAGCGCCTAGCAGCGGGGTATTAGTTCCGTTCCCATAGTTCCCATAATGCCATCTTATACGCTTTACGAGATGTTTTACAATACCTAAACGACTTGCAGTGGGGCATAAAAAGTTCCCATTGCCATTACAAATGCGGACCAATCAGTAAGCCGGGTAAATTAATCGCATCACATGCCATCGCCCAAGCCGACCAAGAGCCAACAACTGAAGATCCTTTCGCAGCGCCTTTGTGTAGCGATCTCATTTATGGGCCATAAACCATAGAAGCGATGACTCTCCACAGAGCGCCGTCGCGACGGCTGCCGCCGCAAAAGTTGCCCTTGTGGCAGGCTGCTTGCTATTGTTGTTCTTGTTGTTGTTGTTGTTATTGTTGGTTGTTGTTTGTTGCAACCGCTGGCAATCGTAGTCCGTATTGCTTGTGATCGGTCACCAGCAGTGAGGATATACATATATATATATATATATATGTAGATATACGACAGTTAACTTATCTTGCATCCACTTAACGTCTCGCGGCAATAAATCAATCCAATGGTCAAAATCTCGTTGGCAGCCAGAAGGCAAATTAATCACTTTGAAAATTGTTACCCATTTGGAAACTTGTCGCATTAACTTCCCAGCTGCATGCGACTCGTTTCTAAAATCTTTCTCTTTCTGTTTGCCGTTTGTATGGGGGAACCAGTTGGCGATCGAAACGTGTGTGGGCAATCCTTAAACATCATGTGAAAACTCTCGTAATTTATGATTGACAGTATCAGGCACTATTCTGTATTATACCTGTATTCGGCATATAAAGAATCAACTATTTTCTAACTGTTTTGCATACAAATAATCCAAGATGAAAAATGGTAGCAAATAGTTTAAATATTGTAACTGATTAATGACTAAAGCAAAATGAAAATGTATTACGTTTTTATAATTCAAATTGCTTCCATTAAATGTAAGCCGAATAAAGTTCATATTTGCTGTATATTTTTGATGATAATTGGAGCCTTTCAAATACAAATTGAGCACCCGGCTTGTGTGGCTTTATTTGTGCTCAAAAATATGCCGGGCTGTGTTCGAGATATTTTGACAGCAAATTGCTTAAATACTTGTGCCCATTAAAACAATTAGTCACTGCTGCTACCAGTCTAAGTCCACAAGTAGTTTTATGAAATTTTCACAAATTTTCTCATATTCATCGAGACGATTCACACTCAATTATAACATACCAAAGAACACAAATTTGCTCAAAAATAATTAAAGGCAAATTCCAAAAGATGCGTTTGCGTAAGTCCTGTCTGTCCTGTCACACTCACACCCCTGCCAAATGCTTGCCTAAAATTCAAGATGCTACAAGAATGCAAAGTGTCATTTAAGTGAAACAAGACGAGAACAAATATACAGCCTTCGAGCAGACACTGGCAGGCATCGAGCAAGGATTTCGGCTTTGGGTTCAGGCCTACCCCAACCTCCTACTACCTGATGAGCCAAGTATTCAAGAGAATGTTTGTATGTGAAGTGTGTGTGTGTGTGTGTATGTGTATGCTCATGTCGATGGCTGCCAGAGTGCGTTGCAGCATCAGCAGCATCAAAAGCAGCAGCAGCAGCAGCAGAAGGAGCATCCTTAGCATCCACGCAGCTTGCTTACGCAGCCTCTATAAATTATTGCTGCTGCTTGTCATGTACGGAAATCCTTGTGTCAGTGTAGCCGAAATGCCAGGCTCTATCTACCTCTTCCACACTCTCTGTCTCTGTCTCGCTGCCTTTGACAGAGTCGGGCAAGGCGATACGTTTTCAACAAGATTAGAATTTCGTTGCAACGCACAAAAGCCTCAGAAACAATTCAAGCAGACACATCTCGCAACTATAACAATTAATATCCTCAAATTGCGCCAAGGAGTTGGGTGTGTGTGTGTGTGTGTGTGTGTGTGCAGCCAGGCAGTTTCTGTCTTTTGCTTGAGTTTGCGCACACATCGGGGCGTATGCGTGATGCTGTATGCTAATTTACCCATGCCAGCTGCTGCAATAGACACACGACTGTGTTTGAATTATTGGCCAACCATGCTAACAAGCCATGCCAGTCTATAACGTACTTTCCTCAATCCAACCTACTGAACACTACAACTAATTAAATCAATAAGGGTCTCTTATTAAAATTGGTAATAATGCAAAAGAATTATTAATTAATCAACATGAACTCTTAAATTTCTTATAAATGCAAATATAACTTGATTGGCCTATAAAAACGGAATTATCAATCAATTAAGGTTACATTAAATAAATAATCTTGTCATATGTTAACTTGCAGTGCAGAAATAAAAAGATTTTTTAAATGACTTGAAAATAATCTTAAGTTTCTTATAAATGCAGTTAATACTTGATTAGTCTAATGATTCATAAAGAGAACTCTCATATTAAATTGGTTATGCTGCAAAAAATTCTAAATGATTTGAAAATAATATTAAATTACTTACAAATTCAATTATAAATCAAGAAGTGCTCGAGGAGTATTTCATTTTTGCTGTGTATTAAATATTATTATTATAAGTTTATAATAGTTATTTTCAATTGTACATTAACTATTAGCCTGTTTTTAAAGATAGTCACTTCAGATATTCTTTTAATCCCTTTAAAGCTTTCGTGGACTTTACAAATAAAAAAAAGTTTAAAGAAATTAAGAATAAGAGTAGTAAAATTAAGATAATGTTGCCATTTTTAAGTTGTTTTTCTACAACTCACCCATTTGGCGGACTTTATTTCACATTGATTAATCTGTTTGGCTTAAGCTTTTTCTAATAAATTTATTATTTATGAATTACAGTATTATTATGGAGAAATTATTCTCACTTTTGTTATGTCGGTTTGAATTATCATATGAACGTGGCTAAGCTGTCCCTCACTGTTTTGAAGCGATCCATTAATT